CCATATCTAATATACAACTATTTTTATATAAAAAATCAAATCCAATTATCATTGGTATATCTATGTCTGCAACAATGAGACGGTGATAAACAATTTTTTTATTCAGCTGTACTGGAAATACAGCAGTCCCCATCGGCATAACTACACTTCCATTAGCCATGCGTAAACCAGTACATGCATTGGATAGCTCTGGCTTTACACTTTTGGACATGGTATTATACATGGATGAGTTAAGGACACTTACAGTGGACCCGGTATCAATCAAACAGTTTAATTTCATGTCAAAAACACTGGCAATTACATATAAGCTATCAGAACTGGTAGATTTTATCTGACTCAATTTCTCAAAATTTTTGGACTCTTCAAAATCATAATTAGTCTCAGCTAAAACTTTGTCCTCAGTTTCAGCCACTAATAGTTTCCCCGACCAGTCATTTGGTCTGCCACTTTTCTTGGAAATGAGTTGTTAGGTCTGTTACCTTCAAACCGTTGGGATCGGTTATTCAATAGGGGACAATCCCTTTTAAAATGACCGGAAACCCCACAATGGTAACAAGAAAAAGTTTTCTTATTTTTTTCATCATTTTCTATTTTTGCAAGACGACCTGAAATGTCATCAACTTGTTCAGACAAATAAATTTCCCTATTTAAATCAAAATTATCATTTACAGCACGTACTGGCTTAGTGCCGTGTTTACGTCTGCCATTTTGGAATGCTTCATATTCAAGAGCTACTTGAATGGCGTTATCAATATTTTTTGCTTTGGCCTGGAAGATAGCCCATTCCATGTCAGCATCATTTAAGGAATCAATAAAACAATCTCGTGCTAAATGTTCCTTAACCTCCATTGGAGCTGATGGATACGCCAATCTTACTAGACGTTTTATGTCTTGGCCTAACACAGGTATTTGTTCCGTGCGTCCGCGTATTTTACTTTTCATTTGCGCCCTGTACATTTCTGCTTGGTTTTCTGGTTGAAAACGAGAAGCTAATGCGGCTGTCAGTTGGATAAAATTGGTCCGCATCTCTGGTCTTAAATCAGTTAAAATACTTTGGGCGGTACCTCTTAAGCTAGTAGCTAGTTCTAAAGCTTTCTCTATGTCAGACCATTTGTTAATTGCTGCAATTAATTCAAACTGAACTAAATAGTCTTCCCAATTACCCTCCCCATCATAAAGTGCTGGATTCTTTTTGTAGTATTTTGTATTTTGTAAGTTTATATCATAATCACGCTCATAATTTGGTTCATTGCTAATGCCAGCATAATTTATATTACTGGTCATTTCATCAGTTCGGTGTTCATGGTCGGTCCCGTTAACCCCCACTCTGAATCGTCCGCGGGACGTCAAAGGTAATGCTTGGTACGTTGCCCCCTGATTATGGGGTACGCCCCGGTCCAAAGTCCTAGGTAAATCTCCCGAATCCCATCTACCCCGTCGAGCATCGGATTCACAAGACGTCGCGACTCGTCTTGTATTCCCGGAGTCTCCCTCAGCAGTACCCCCTGCTTTCTGACTCCAAAACCCATACCTAGACCCTCTGGCAGCATGGTCCAAAAGAGTCCTTGACTCTTCACCAAAATTCTGTTTTACCGTACGCGCTGCATTTTTTTCCAAATGCACAACCGTTGCCCTATTTGAAACTTCCGGGTTTTTCGCTTGGTCAATGGCCACTTTCCTTGATGGTGATAGATCCCCTGACAATGGCCTATTGTCAGCATGATGTATACCATCCTTTTCGTATCTATTCGTATTCTCTTGTGAGGGCCATTGATCTTGGTTCACTCTTATGCCTATCTCTCCGGTCGGCGTCAGATCATGGAAAATTTCACAGGACCGAGATAGGGGGAGCACTGGTCTACCCTGGGCAGTTAACCTAGGTGTTTCAAATTGATTTTCCGTGCTATCCATTTTATTTATATTTATTTATGTCTTATCTTAAATATAATTACACTTATTTAAAGAATATAAAAATGTAGGTACGTGCCTCCGCTGCCACCACTGTAACGAAAACCTAGCGGTCGGGCCTTAGTGTTAAACTATAAATGTTTATCCCTCAGTGTGTTGCTATAATAATGTTCTTGTAAGAATGCATAATTATATATATGAAATAAAAGTTATGACGGGAGACCCTTCTTTGGTAGCGTGGTACCCTGGTTTCTTTTTACACCCTGGTTAAGTTGGTTACTCTGGTAAGGTGAAGACTTGGATAAAAAAAAAAGGGTGTATCTGGAAATATGTTTTTGGCCTGTGGAAGTGTTTGTGTGTTTTGTATGTAACTCTCCGTATTTGTGTTTGTAGGAATAACAGACTCGTTAAATAAAAATCAACTTATATTAACTTTAAGATGCATTAATTATCAACAATACAGATAAATATTAAATAACTTAACTATATCATAATCTTATAGATAAATATATTATTAACCTTCTATCGTGAAATAAAGAAAATGGATAGCGGAAAAATATACCCAGAAAGTTTACTAATTATAGTTGGGTAATCGGCAAATGGTAAATCAAATTCAATGCCAAAAGATAAAGTTTAACTTAATAAGTTATTTCCGTGTGTAACTCGTAAAGGAATTAACAAACCAAAATATGTACGGACCTATTCTCCTCAGACATGGTTATCTGTCGTCTGCTTGGTAACTGGTTCTACCGACTTGGTCTGGTAACTGGTACTTAATTTTATTATAACGCTTGGAATTAGCAAAAGTTACTTGCCCAGGGTAAAATATGAGCTGAAGACTTAGTGAATGTTCCGCTGTATTTATACTTAGGTAAACCAATTACCGAATTGGTTTACCATTTACCATTTAGGAAAATACCTAAATTACCAAAACCGGAACTGGTGATTACCAAAATTATGTTCGGGGTGTTTGGTAAAACGTTTGTGTACTTCAATTGAAATGAACAAAAGAGAGGTGTTCCGAATATAAAAACCAAAGGCAAGAATAATAAAAGTTTAACAGTTAACCATGTTTGAACTGGGATTTTCACACATGAGCATGCAAAATAAGGGTAAATTCAGCAACAACTGAAAGCATAATTATCCATACTTTACACAATAACTACATAACAAAAAAAGTAATGTATCGGTACCATTAAAGCAGTATCAATACACAAATTTGGGGGAGACAAAGGGAACCGACAATCGCAGTTGACTTATAAATTCATGAAAGGCGCTACCTATATCCCCTTGATGAGACATACGCGAAAATCCGTAAAATCCTATACAACTTTAATAGATGGACGCCAATTTTGTTACAGTATCATCAGCCAATTGTGATATTTTGATGCTGTGTGTTTTATCATCTATAGTAATACTAATACCTTTAATGTCTGAGGTTTGCCTTAATCGCTCGGCCATAATTTCGACTGATAAAACAAAAAGTAAAGCCGATAAAGTACATCCTTGACGAATTCCTCTAGAGTTTTCAAAAATTTCGGATACCCATCCATTATATATCACACACGTCTGTATCCCCTTATATAGTGTTTCCACCCATTATATGAATGATTCATTAAAACCAAAATGCTTTAAAACGCTTTACATGAATTCCCATTCCAAAGAATCGAAAGCTTTTGTAAAATCAACAAATATAATAGCCCCATCTATTCCGTTTGATTCTGCATAGTCCATTATATCTTGGATTTGCCTTAAATTAAATCCAATAAAATGATTTTTTACACATCCGGTTTGATCTTCATTAATTAGTTTAGGAAGAAGCTCTTTTAGTCTCTTTGCCAAAACATGAGATAATATTTTCAAATCTACATTTAATAATGATATTGGGCGATAATTGTCCAAAGATAATGGGTCATTTTTTTTAAATAATAAAGATAGAACACCTGTTTGTTGTGTATATTATAAAAGTTTTTCCTCGTGTCCTTTATACAAAACTTTTACTAACATTGTTTTTAATTTTTCCCAAAACGTCTTATAAAATTCTAATGTTAAACCGTCTAGACCAGGTGATTTATTTAGCTTCATCTTATTAATAGCATTAGTACATTCATCTATAGTAACCTCCCCGTCACAAATTTTAAAGTCGTCTCCATTTATCTCCTTTTCCATGACAGTATCGCCTACATATTTATGTAGTAGATTTTTATCTGGATTCGTGGTTGTATATAATACTTTATAATAGTTTTTTATCATTTCTAGAATTTGTTCTTGATTTGTTGTTACCTCGTTATTTTCAATTCTGAGTTTGTTAATAGATTTCTTAACTTGTCGCTGTTTTCCTAAACCTAGAAAATAAGAATTATTTTTTTCCCCCAGTTCCATCCATATTTCCGTTGAATTTATTTGAGCCCCCTTTGCCTAATTTTCATAAATGTTGTCCAATTGTAACTCTAATTGTGTAATATTATTTGTTATTGTTTCATCTTCGTTTAATTGTTCATCTCCAAGTGTCGTAAAGTGTTCTAATTCTCTTTCTAATTTTCTTGTTGTCTCCCTTGATAATTTCGATTTTCTTTTACAGTAAAGAATAGATTCGTCCCTAATTTCGATTTTTAGATTGTCCCATAATAGACGAATATCGCTACTGTCACTATTGTTTATACGATTTTCGAACTTGTTAATTACTCTGTTGATTATTTTTTTATATTCAATATCTTTTAAAATAGAATTATTCAATTTCCAGTACCCAGGGTAAATCATAATTTTATAGATATTTGGCTTTTCTTACATGAAAATACACAACAGTTTACATGGAGAAGCAAGGATAAGACACAAGCCAGTAGGATCGATTTAATTTTAATTGGAAAAGAATTTCAATCTCTCGTTGAATATTGTAAAATTAAACCGGCACTAATTAAAGTGACTGACCATTAAATGGATGGTTTTAAACTTTAGGACAGGAGCCGGCAACTAGAGTAATGCCTATAGAATTTTCTTCTATAAAATTGTTTACTTTCTTGAAGAAAGAATTTCTATCTGTTCTGTAATTTGGCGCGTAAAGACAAACAAAATTATATTGTCCATTTTCACATTTAATAAAATAAGTCTTCCGTCATTATCACAGAATTTATTAATGACCTCAATATCTGCATATTTGTTAATACCGATTGCTACCCCCTACTTGCCGAAGTTCCATTACTGCAGTAAAAAATAAAATCCGTATCCTTTTCAAGACTAGCCTTTGATTCTTCATTGAGATGTGTTTCTTGTAAAAGGGCAATGGAACACTTATTACGTTTAACCCAATCTATAACTTTTAATACTTTTTCTTTATTTTTCATACCATTAACATTAAGTGTGCATAAATTAATATTTGTCATTGTACGTGTAGTTTAAAGGGTAATTTAATTTCGTTGACTTATCTGTACGATCTATTTTAACATTAAAATACAAATTTTCAATCGATAATAGGTAGAAAAACGTGACCTTATTTAACCTCGTGTCAATTATTAACCCGTGAAGTACGGGCGTACCCAGGTACAAACGGTTTGTTTCATCACATGCTACATTGTGTATAGGAAAGCATTCAATTTGGATAAATAAATCTACTGCTATCGATTTAGTTGGATTATATTGCAGTTCACTAAAAACTAAGTGTAATAAAAATAGTGTGTGAATTAAACACTCTAAACAAATGAATTGAGTATGTCGCAATTGAAAAGTGCACTTATATATGTGGCAGACTATAGTTGAGTCTGAATTTAGAAAGAATTTAAAAACTAATTTAGAATTCATACCTAAATGTCTTTTTGGATTACTTTTACGATTTTGAAACGACTGTTTTCTGAAGAAGATTACATTTCTAAAAAGGTAAGTAATTTTGGATATCTGTTCAATATTGTTTTTACATGTTTGTTTATAAATTACTTTTAATTATTATCACTTACATCAAGTGATTTGTATTTGTTATCAACTAACAATAAGTTCCAAAAAGCATCGCCTTTATAATGTACATGCATATTTGAATCACTTTCACTCCCAATACCATTATAAAAATGTGTGTACACTGTAAGTAATAACTGCCTCACAAGCATATGTTTACGGGTTTTAAAAATGACATAATTTTTTATGCTATAACATTTTTCTAAACATAGCCCTTGGAAAAACCGGTATCGTAAACATGGTAAATAAGCACAACATTGCTTGATATATAACGTCATTGACAATGTACATGTAATCAGCTTAATACAATAGAATTTGATAAAGAACTCATCCACTATCTTATAGCAACTGTGTAAAGTCTCAACTTCACATGTTGATCTTTGTTTTATAAAACCATAATTATTGTACGTTGTTTTCATTTTAGATATAAACATTTCAAATTTAATCAATTTACATTTGGCAAATAACAGAACGATAGTACTGCATACCCATGTCCATAATAATATTGGTGCAGTACTAACAGCTAAATATATTTGACTGAAATTTATAAAGCAACAAAACAGTGTATAATATAAACTATGGTTTTCGGTCCATGAATAACCATTATTGTCCGATAGAATTTCACTGTGGTTTGATGTTTCTAAATATAACATAGGGAAAACCAAGTTTTTTAAAAACAGCTGATTCACATTTTTTTCTTAACAATGATAATTCGTAAACAAATGTTTACGCAGAATCTGATTGTACATGATATTGAAAATATATATTAGCTTTTGGCCTGTTAAATCGTATATGTTACACCACATCTTTGTTTCTAATATCGTCAATTGACATTTTATAACGACAAACCGTTGTATAGTAATACATATTACATATTAATATCGTTTTCAACACCATATAAACTTTTTCATACCATATCTTATTTGAAAACATTCCAATATTTTTAAACATTTCATCATTACTTAGATTAAACTCTGTATTTGAACTTGATTTTTTTTCCATTTATATGTTTTTTATTGTTTTTTTTTTTTTAAATAATATAAAAATATATTAAAAATTTGTTAGTACAATTTTCTTTTAAATGTACAGTTTGTTGATAAATTATATTAATACAGTATTTTGAAATATGATACAATAGTTCAACAAGATAGTGATAAAATATTCTATGCTTTTGATTTCTTAGGTCCAATATTTTCTGTAGGTGTAGGTGGCGTATGATTTCTTGCTGTTGTTCTTCTTGTGTTTTTTTGGTGTTCTTACAAAAAATATTATTATGGTTTTTTAAAGTGGGAAAAATTTGTTACTTAACATTACTTAATTTCAATGCCTGCCTCGCCTATACATGTTTCTTTGTATTTGTCTAATTTGTTAGATTCCGGATCTACTGACAGTACAGTATCGTCTGATGTTTATTCAATTAAGTGGGCACATGAAATGTGTGGTCAAATTGACCCTACAAATAATTCCTTTGTTGAAAGTTTAGTTGAATCAGCTAAAAGAATTGCTAAACCTGTTGTATATAAGAAAGATCCAGTCACTACTGATATCTTAATTCGGTTATGTTCTATGTTTCAATTTTCTACAGATTTACTGGTGGTTAGGGATCTTTTGATGACTTTGTTAGGTTTCAGTGGTTTTTTTTAAGTGTTAACGAGTTAAGTCAGCTAATATGTAACGATATTATTGTAAAAGATGTTCATTTAGTTATTAACATTAGGAGGAGTAAGACTGACCAGTACAGATCAGGTGACGAGATTTTAGTTTGCAAAGGGCATGATTTGGCTTGTCCTAATACTATGTTTTTTAGATATGTTAGTTTAGCCGAATTAGCTTTGGATAGTGATATGTTTTTTAATCGACCATTATACAGAAGTAAGAAAAAAAGTGCTTTAATTAGTATTAACAAACCTACTGTTAGGGAGCGCGTAATTAAGAGATTAAAACTAGTTGCACCTGAATTGAATCTTGGGTTGAATTCGCTTAGGTCTGGTGGTTCCACTATGGCGGCAAATTCAGGTTTCAAGAAAAGGTGACTCGATTTCTTTTCTATTTTCAATATTAACAAACAAAATTATGTTTTCTTTTTCTCATTTGACAAAAGAGGTCCAACACGTAGAGTTTCGTTGGCATTGACAAAAGGACACAGGTTTCCCAAATGGGTTTTTCCTGATCGGCCACGGAACATTCAGTTATTCAGTTATTCAAATACAAAGGGTTAACATGAGTTTATTTTTCTTGAACAATTAAGATATTGTATTCATAATTTGCAGTTCACGAGCTAGTCAACAAACATAAGTTTGTGTTGTTTTTTTTCTTTAAATAGTTGAGTTTATATGTATTTAGCGGAAAGAAGACGTCAATATAAAAGCACGTGTTCGACTTGTTAAACTTTTTTCTTCGTAACTGGATTTTAAAATTTTTTTTTTTTCAACTAAATTTTCGTTTGCATTTGCTGAAACGTAATTAAATAATGCAATCAATTGTCTATCTTGATCAAGTGTTCTCCTGTCAGGTGTGTCAATCTACCTGTACAAGTGATTAGCGATCTTTAGCCGGATATTCCTCGGGACTTTAAAACTGTAATCAATAGGAACCTTGGAATTATAATACAATAAGGGTTATGCAATAACATGCAATTGATTATAATTGCTAACAAAAACGGCGGCGGCTAGCGAAACGAAAACAAATTTTGACAATGGCGGGGATCATTTGACGATGGTTGAAGATAATGTAACGATGGCGGGGATCATTGGTGCGGCATCATAAAACAGGTTATGGAGATCCCTGATTAGTACCCATTATTTCTACTTATCGTGATGACTTACAGTAACACTCCTCTCAGCATAGTATTGGTATCGGTGAATTAATTCTCGTTCTTTTGATAAAAACTTAATAGACTAATTAAAAGCTTTAAAACATTGCAATGTAACTGAAGTTTGATTTTGATTTGGCTTGCTATCTTCAAACGGTAGTATTTATTCCTGTATAGGCAACAATACTCATATTTTCTAAGTGTGCTACTTTTATAATAAAAACCTAGAAAAAATAGTTGTGTGAAATTGGTGCATTCTGTTCTAGTAATTGAAGTCAAAAAGAATCATTAGATCTTCGAACGAAGCTTGTTTATTGTATCCATGCCAACCGTCATTTTAGATAAAATTCATGAAAATTTGGAAGACTTTTCAAATGATCCTCTAGAAATAATTCAATGTGATTTAAAAATCATAAATAAATTAAAAACAACATACTGTACCAATACATCTGATAAAAACGCTCCTATGTTGACTTCATTCGTCTGCTTTGGGTACAAGAACATCCAACCTAAAGTCGTGAAAATGTAATGCAAATGTTTTCCTATTTAAAGCTATCATATTTTATACTTAAAATACATTTAACTAGTTTAAACATCCGATTCAAAAATGTAAATTTAATAAAATGTGCTTTCTTGGAAACCATTTGAACATCTTTGTTCTATATAAATTCCTTGACCTGTTTTCCAGGGTTTTCAAACTAAAAGGACGAAACTGTCATGATACTCTAACTATAATTCCACATAACTAAAGTCGTGCTTAGCATTCATGTACTGATTTACTTAGTATTAGTTTAGTAAAAGTTTAGTTTAAATTCAGTTTAAATCTTCAATCAAAATACAATCTTACAAAGATTTAACGTTTTTGTTTAACTGTGGTTTCTTGGTAAAAATTATTCAGTGATTGTTAACATTATGTGCCCACCTCTAATTTTGAAAAAAACAACATTTGACCGAGTTTCACCATTTGAAATTTTAGGGTTTTTTTTGTACCTGGTAAAATCTATGTGGTTGCCCAATACGGAAATTTATAGATTTTTTGTGAAGCACAAGAAAAAACCGGTTGAGATGTGAGGTGACTATGCTTTATATTTTGCATTCCTCGTGTTCCAGATATAATTGGTGATAAGTGAAAATCCGTAGTTCACATTCGGGAAAAAGAGGGCATAATCGTGGTTTGCAATTTGGATATATCTGTCGTCATATGTGAAACAGATATTCCAAAAAGGTCAGTTAATGATGGTGTCCGTAAAATTTTACGAAACGATGACTTCAACCTTGCTTTTTCAAACTCTTTGTTTAGTATCTTTCTTATAAGCAGCAAAACCAAGATAAGAAATAACAATTGATATAAGAAATCTAGTCTTACAATGTTGGCTAGTGAAGAAATATTGCCATGTACCGCTCTGAAAACGGTCAAAACGTTTCATCTGATCCTATTAACTCGAAAAGATCAGCGATTGACATGTTGTATATATATTATACAAAGAACCTGACTTTAACATACATTGACTAGTGTGAAAAACAATCAAACCTGTTAAGATTCTCTGATAAAGAGCAACACAAGCAAATAGATATTCGATATTTGTGTCGTCACAAATATGTACCATCTAAAAGATTTGCAGTAGTGTAACAGTATCATATTTAAACCTTACAATACATTTATCTAGTTTAAATCTCCGATTACAATCTACATTCAAATTTTTGAATTTAAAGTATTAATAAAGTAAAAATTATGCTTCCGTGGAAACAATCTAAACATCTTTGTATTTTAAAATTCAGTGACCTGTTTTCCAGGATATTCAAATTAATAGTACGAAAATTTCGTGATATTCAAACTATAATTCCACGAAAATAAAGCCATGACTAGCATTCATGTACTGATTTACTTCATATCTTAAGCGAAACTCTTTTTTGTATATTTATTAATTCATCAAATGACATCAGTTAGATTTTAAGAAACATTTCTCCTCTTCCTTAGCATTTCTTACGAATTAACTGCATATGTGACCCGAAATGACTTTTACAGACTTACGGCGAAAAATGTCAAAAAAAGAAAAAAACGTCGATCTAAAGTCACGTAACGTAATCGGATCATTTGTATTTGAATGTCCATTTT